GCTGCGGCCCGAGTGCCCGGAGGTGCCCATGGTGTCTCGGGAGCTCCGTTTGGTTTTGTTTCTGCCATGTTTGCTCTGCCGCTGTCACCATTCATTACGCTGGGACTTCTGTTCCAGGAAAGGTGAGGGTTCCCAGCTCTGTACGCGGGGGAAGGTGTGCGACGCTGTGGCTCAGTGCAGAGGCCTGGCAGCACAGCGGGGTCAGGGTCTGCATCGGACCAGCGCCCCACGCGGCCCCGAGGACGGAGAGGCCCTGCTTGGGGCCAGGCGCGTGGGGGCCTCCTTGGTCTTCACTGCGGCCCTCAGTCCTGGGTGGGACACGCTGACCGCCTTCCTGGGTCATGCGGGGATTCTGTCGCGTTTTGAGGACCCGCCATCCTGTCTGGCACAGATGTGCCCCGACACCTGGCGTGTATGTCAGCTCTTGCTCTCACTTCCCCGGCAGGAGTGGGAGCTGAAGAACGGGACGTAGGAGAGCGGACGTCACGAGAGGCCGCGGCTCCAGCAGGCCCGCCGTGCCCGGACCTGGCGTATGTTTCTACTGTATGACGTGCCCTGTAAGGAGATGTGCCCGGGCCGCTTGGCTCCCACGTGGTCTCTTCAGGCGGCCGGGGTGAGAGGTGATGGAACACAGTCCTCCGCCAGGGCCCCCAAGGGCAGCGTGCACTTGTCTGTGTCCCTTCCCCCTGCCTGCCCGCCGTCCCTGAAGCCACCACATGTGAACTGGGTCTGAGGACAGCTGGGAGGCGCTTTCCCTGGAGTTTCTGGACAGGAGCTTCGTAGCAGGACATGCTTTCTAAACTTCTCACATTTCTGTGTGTGTTGCACTTACCCTCGGGGTTCCCGGAGGTTCCGACCGATTTTATGAGGATTTTACTGCTTTGGAAAGGCTGTGAGGGTTTTGGACTCTTCGCCCTGTGTCCTCCTTCCCAGTACCACCCCCACCCCCCTGCGCTGGCGCCACGGTGGCCCATGGAGAGCTGGCAGCCTCGCGGGCACACGGCTACCCTTCCCTTCCTAGACGTCACGGCGGGGGCACTGGAAGTCGCAGGTCTATAGCCATAGCACAGAGAGCAGGAGAGGGCCTTCCAGAGCCTCCAGCCCCCCAACTCCCCCGCCCCCAGTTTGCAACTCCGAGCCATGGCCGTGTCCGTGGACCTGGGCTCGCCCCTCCTCCCGGGCACACAGGCCTCATAGGGCCTTGTCATCACTGTGCTGTCTGCCTCCCATGGAGCCCCTGGGTGACCCGCTGGCCTCCACACAGCCTAGCAGCCCGCGCTGTCCCCAGGCCTCTCAGTGCTCGCTGGGCGCCAGGGCCCTGTGGGGGCTCAGGGTCGGGCTGTATGGGACGTGACCGGCTCCACGGAAGCCAGTCTCGCGTGAGGAGCTGGAAGGTGCTTACCTGGGCTCCACCCGGGGCCTGAGCTCCTTGCAAAGCCGCCTGCCGGGGCGTTTGTCAGGAGGTCGGCCCTGGCCTGCCCCGCTGACCTCCTCACACACAGGATGGCGCTGGAGGCTGGTCCCCCAGCACTCAGCAGGTGACCTCAGGGCGGGCCCGCCCTGCTGGGAGCCAGCGCAGGGAGCACCCGGCCGGCCGCACACAGCTCACTTCCTGGAAGGGAAGCGCTCACTCTCCCGTCGCCTTACGGCTCCGGGTCCAGTGGTGTCCAGTCAAACAAGGCCTCACTCGGCCACTGTGCCTGCAGCTGCCTTGGCCCAAGAGAACCTCCAGGTCCGACTCACTAGACGGGAGGCCCGGCAGCTGCGCTCCTGCCCGCAGCCCGGTGGGTGGGCAACCTCTCGGCCGTGTGTGTCGGCCCAGGGTCCAGCCTTCGACTCCTGGCGGACACAGGCGGTGTTTGTAAAGCCGGGTTTTAATCCACTTCCATAACCACAAGCCTTTAAGGGGGGCGGGGAACTTGTCCGCTGGGGTCTGCGGAGCCACGGAGACGGGGTGCCCCAAGGGGAGGCTGCTGACGCCCACGATAGCGAGTCTCTCCGTGTCCTTGATGTGATCAGAAACCAGCTTAAAGCATTTGCTTCAAAGTGAGTTATTTATTTGTGTATGTTCAGTAAGTATAGCTTCTAATTTATATCTGTACATAGTAGACACACCAGGCTTCTGTCCGATGGGGCGAAGTCCCGTTGCCCTGGGAGAACCGGGTCCCTTAACAGATGGTCGTGTTCAGAGCGCGGCCAGACTCCAGGGGTCCTGACGGCATGAGGGGGGTGGGGGGGCGCCCTCGTGGTCGCCGCCCCTCCTGCTGGGCCTGAGGCCCCGCCAGCCTCAGAGCTCCTCCACTTTGACACGTTTATGATGTTTCACTCACACCCCCCATGCCCAGAGCAAAGTGGTGGTGCGGGGCTGTCAGGCCTGTGGTCCCCTTTGCCCAGATCCCCGGGGTGGGTGCCGCCCGCCTGTGGCTTCAGGATGGCACCACCACAGGCAGGCGGCTGAGCGGGATTGTTCCACATGCCGGACTCATGGGGCACGGCCTCCCGCCATCTCTTCCAGCTCTTCTCTCGGGGCGACCCCGGTGACCTCAGACACCCATGGCACAAAGCCAGCCTCGCCCCCGACACGGGTGCACCATCTCCCTGTCCCTCACTCATCCTGGCTGTTTCTGAAAACCCAAGCCCTGGGCCAGGTGGCGATTTGCCACCTTTTGCAAAGTTTGTTTCAAATCCTGGGCCCTGGGCCTGAAGGCCACACCCAGCCAGGAGCGGCCGGCTGGTGCGTCAGGGCTGTTTATGCACCAGGTCATGTGACAGGAGCCCCGGATGGGTGCTGGGCGCACCAGCAGGGCCCGCAGCCGACGTGGCCCGGTCAGCACAGACCGGGCGTCCCCGCAGGGGCTCACTCCCGCCAAGGGCTCAGCAACGTTGAAATGCACAGCTATTGCCTTCTTTTCTAGGGTAATTTTTAACAGGAAACGTATTGTCAGCTCGTGGCACAGTTTAAAGAGGGTGATGGTTATTATTATTGTTTGTTCCTGCTGTGATGCTGTCTGGTCACCCGTGGTGGCTGCGTCGATACTGTGAAATGAACTGAAGATGAACTACCACCTCCGTGCCCCACACACCACGCG